ATGGGTCAGCATATCCGATTTCTAAAATACCTCGCTGCACCGCATTCTCCGTAGGTTCGTGGTGCTTTCCGGCAGCTATAAATGGCGGGGGATTCATTCCCTACAAGTCAGGTGGATGGTCAAGGAAACCACTATATAATACGGAGCAATTGCGGGTTTAAAATGGCTTCTATTTTACCGTTACATCTATAAGATCGACACTTGATGCAAGTATAATTCTCGGTTCTTTGTATATATTCGTGTCTACCTCCATCTACACTATTGGAATTTTTTTCAATCTCTAGATTCGCCTCTCCACTCAACTCCCACTAGGGGACAACAGGTATTTTATCGGTTGATTGTTAAAGCATTCGGAAGGCGAGTTACCTAAAGGAGTGGGTTATAGCTATACAACCGGGTGGCAGGCCTGTGGAGGCATTGGTTATTGAATCGCTAGATCACCTACATTTCCCACAATAAATAGTTTTTTTTTAAAAAAAAAAAAAAAGTACCCGAATATAAGGAAATCCCTGACCTCTATCAGTCTACCGGTATGTTCCCCAGCACCTTCGGTCCCCCCCACCCACCCACACAATCGTAAGTTTATTCCATGCACCACAAGTTTCTGGAGGATTCCCGGATCTCGCCTTGTGATTGATAGTGGCAACTCGACAACTCGGACTTCCGGAACCGCTTCCTGCGCCTGTCTTATCCCGGATTGGTCCGTGATAGTGAATATCACCCTAAATTGCTCACCGGGAGTGTAGCTTTACGCTAATAAAATCAGGCCCTGATAGGAAGTCCTTTCCCCACGCAAAGTACCGTACACAAAACTGTATCCTGTGGGGGATTATCGTAGTAGCATCACTAAGGTGAAAATTTAAGCCACGTATCAAAACTATACACCTGAGTGCCACTTCAATAATTTGGCGTCTCTGGGGCCCTTGAAAGTCTGTTTCTCTCAAGGTTCACCCTTTCTTCAACCCCTCTCCCGCATCCACCGGCACAAATACGGAAGAAATAGGATCAAGGTGACGTAGAATAAAGGGTTGAAAAACCATCAAAGATACAGTCAGCACCCATATCATCCCAACATATTGTGCCGCATTTGAACAATCGAGGGTCCCAACAGGTATCTCGCAGGAGTCCAACCGCTCGTTCACTTGCCCATTTTGTCTGTTCTTTGCATCTCTCGATAAGTCATTGGTATGCCGTCCATCGTATGGAATTGGGAGATGTCTACCTAAAACCTGTTGCCTCATGACCCGCAAGACCGATGGAGGGGTTGTGCTAGCAGTGCTGGAGACCGGATCATGTCACCGGTGGTGGTGTGAGCAACCATTGGGCCGGGATATTAGGGACATTCTCAATCGCGCTCAGGACAAAGGGTAGGGGATATTTGGGAGAGGTAGAGATATTTACCGACCAATCAGAGGGATTAGCTAACAGAGCTATAGCAGCTCTCAGGGTGTTCTTAGCGGGGTTGACAGGACGGAGAGTTAAGATAGACTACATGTACAGTACAGTACACGTTGTAAACTTTTTGCATCATACGCACTAAAATAAAGCAACAGGGAAAGGGATCAATTAAACCCACAATATCAGATCAGGCCCGGATCTCCTGGAATAAAAATACAACTCTCCATGACGGAATAGTGTTATCAAAATTGAGTATAGCTTGGAGCGGCTGAATTTACTTTACGAGTACAAGTACTCGTACATGTACTCGCACTTGTACTACTGGAGACCTTATTACCTGCGCACAAACTTACCCGAGTACTGTACCGCTCTCGAGTAGTTATGGTTCTCCTGACTTACCGGTACTTTGCCACGCTTATTGTGGTCCAGGCAGTGGTTTCCGTCGATATCCCCAGTGGTGGACTCCACAAGTACCCGAGTGCCCGATTGCCGGTACCGGTACTGTACTTGAGTAGGGTAAGTACGAATACCGGTACAGCGCAATACCAAGCTTACCGCAGGAAACCATCCTATTCGACGAGGCTAATCATCTAAGCGAAGGGATGACAGGTTGGGCCTGCAGTTTTGTCACTTGCCAGGAATCCTTGGCGGAGGCGCGAATGCCTCTGTAAGACGTCGGCTAACTGCGCCCGGTAGGTTTAAGCCATCTAATCTAAATTTACCTTATTTTAACACCCCAACCTCTTGGGATCAGCACAGCCTTGCACCACTCGGGAGATTCGACACATCCCACAATACCGCATTTAGTAGCCGCTATCCCTTCCCAAGCTAGCTTTCTATCACCGCGGAGATGGTGGATTTCTCGAGATTTTGCGGAGGAAGCCTACCGATACCGATACCCGTATTCCATACTCGAGTGCCCGCGGATTCCGGGCCCTCCCTACGGTGCGGTACAGCCCGCAAGCAACGTTTTTTTATCCCAGCAGAATGCGATGTCTCACCCACGGCACTTAAAAAATCGGCAAGTTCCGGGGCAGGGCATCCTGCCAAGCCTTGTCAAGACCTTGCGTATTACCTTGTTTGGCGCCTCCAGAATTCCTTCTCGTCATAAATCACATCTTCACTGCCTAATATGTCCCTAGGGGTTTCAAAAAAAAAATACACCCAGATCCGGTGTATTTTTCAATCAAATTTTCGGATTTTTTATGATTTTTTATGATGGTGCTTTCTTGCTTGGAAGTCGAAGTATCATATTAGTTTGTCGGTCGTGGGCGAAACATTGAATTCCTCTGAAAAAAAGGTGGCTGGTATGATATTACGGTATCGTACTCGAGTATTCATGGAGCCCCGCATCGGCTTGCATAGAATAGGTGTTCTCGGTATGTACCCGCACTTGGCGCTTACCAGAGAGTGTCCCATTTAACAATCAGATAAACAAACGATCATCTGATAACAGATCACTGCCTCACTGGTCCGTTTGAGAATAGTTTATGCGTCTATTCTCTAACACCTAATACGTACGATGCAATCCTAATAATAATCGAACAAGGAAACGGGGCGGAAATAAATAAACGATTGAACAGTGGTGAGATTTTTATCTTGACCCCCCTCCACCCTCCAGGTCTTGAGGGGCCATTGCCAGTGTTACCGTATTGTCAGATGGGTTGACAGCTCGCTCAAACTACTAATCATAATAATCTCGCTTTATCTATTCGTTAGGAAACTCATCGACACATACCGGTAGTCGTCTATTGTTGTATTTGGGGGAAATGAGGAAGAAAGGAACGGGAAGCAAGAATCGTGAATAGATTTTCTCCCTTCAAACCTTTGGTTTTATTTGTCCCCCCCATCCATTCTCCTTTTTCATCCGTAAAGACCAGGGGAATTTACTTCAAAGCCACCTTCTATCGACACCCCTCTTCTTCAAAGTATTGCCTCACTCTTTTACCCCTTGAAGGAGCTAAGAGATAAACCATTATTTCAACAGGAATTGCATCTGTTCTGATTACACCCGATGACACCGAATTGAGCGCCTGCCAATACCGTACCCACCAAAGAACAACAACCCAGGAAGGAGCCACAGCGCTGTAAATTACTGCTGTGGAGACACTACCGGAAAAAATAAAACGAATGTCGGAATAGGAAATTTGATACCGGGGAATAGTCCCGTTTGATTCAGGATTTAATTGACAGACAGTCCCGATGAGTTAGGCTTCTTTTCAACAACCGCGACTTTCGGACCGGCGAAACCATGAAAAGCGCGACGACGATCGAACACCAGCGAATGACATACAATGATCAAACGCCAGAACAGCCTGTGATGTACAATGACCGAACGGCGCTCAGCTTGCGAAACGGCGTATGGTGAACGACCCCCAGAACGGTGAGACGGCGATGCTAAGGAAGTGAAACGCTCTTAGTAAGTCAGAAGAAAAAACTCTGATCGCCAACACGCGACTTAAGGGAAGGGTGAATATGCTCTCTATTCAATGCGACGCCAATTGCTCAACGACTTGCTCGCTCGCACAGCGACAACTAACTAAAGGAAAGACAGGAGCATACGCAAACTACAACTGGAGCATCCTCTCAATCTCCTCAGATTACGAGAGACATCCATTCTTTTCAATGCTGGTCTATACTCGAGTACTCGCCTCCGCACTCTCCCTTGCTGAAAAAAAAAACAGGCACTACGAATAGACTCTCCTGCCCATGACGCGAACGAAATTCCGATACTCTGGCTCCCGGTCACCGGTTATCAGTCGCGAAAGCTCTCAGAGCGTGAATCAGCACTAGGTGCTATCAGGCATGTGCATGTCCTATCCACCGGTATTCTATTCCGCATATTATACCGGCAGCTAGCAGTTGGTCTTTCGGGTAGCTCAGTGCCGAGGGTCTATTCATTTCTGGAGGTTCTTCTTCTCACCTTCATTGATGAAGGGGGTACTGTACAACACGACTCCAAGTAGATAGATACTATGAAAGAATTTAACAAAAACTACCGATTCGATAGTGTAGAAAGAAAAAGAAAAAATAAGACATGGCTAAGGCTATCTTGGATCACGGGACTACCGGTCTCGGCGTCGGCGGTTCCGGGTCGTCGGGTAAATTATCTCGGGACCCCTCGCGGAAAAAGTCGTCCGTCCTCGCTGAAAAACTGCCCCGTCGCGAACACCAAAATTCTTAATCGACGCCAAAAAGTTGTTTTTCCCGACACTAAACCTTGCTAGCGGCGCCTGGCGCGTTTATGGCGCGAGTTGCGTTACGACATTATATTGCCTTTAAGAAACATGGCGTGATATCTCGTGTCCCGGCCAAACACCGTCGTCGATCGGACGAAGCGTAAACAACCATTTCTTTTCTAAATCACTTGAGATTGCTACCGTGTATTCTACTATGCTGTGAAATGGTCTCGGTGGCTTGACTACTCCGTTCCGGAAATTATAGGTCTCTTGCAATCTAATTACCGGACCGGTGCTCTGGCAGGCAGCAGTCGCCCGGATAGCGAGAAGATGATTGGGTGAGGAGGTCTAGAATTTGCACCTCTACACTGGGAGGAAAAAGCTACAGAATAAAGCACGAAAGACTACGGTCGGACAAACTTCTTCGTGGGAAAACTCTCCTTATTTCATCTCCATAAATGCTAATATTGGGAAGGAACGAATTAAATTAAACGACATCAGGGTCATTGCGACGAACAACAAAAGAAAAAAACCGTAAAACAATCTGCGTATTACCAATCTCCTTCCCCCATCTCTGCCCTCAGTTTTGGACTGCGTGTAGTGAACTTCACAATGCATCACTTGTTGGCGGTCGGATACCCAAGGCGCAGGTATGCTGAGGTGCGGGTTTACCGAGGTGCAGAGGTGAACGCGTCATACCAGTAACAAAAACAAAGAGAAAAGACCAACCCCCAGCCCCCGTATAGGGCAAACAAGAAAAAGAAGAAGAAAATGCAACGGACCTTGCTAGGAGAGGCAACTGCAATGCCTCACTAGCAATCCTTTTAGCGCTTGTCATAAGGATCGTAATCGTCGTATGAATCATAGGTCTTATAATCGTCATGCTTATAGCCGGTGGGCTTGTAATCGGTATGTGGCTTATAGTCGGTTTTGGGCTTGTATGGATCCGGGGTGTAATAAGCGTCGTATGTCTTATGATCCGGCTTGTAGGTGGGAGTCGGCTTGTAATCCGGCTTATAGTCGGTCGGCTTGTAGTCCGGCTTGTAGGTAGAGGTCGGCTTGTAATCCGGCTTGTAGTCGGTTGGCTTATAATCCGGGGACGGCTTGTAGTCGGTTGGCTTGTGGTCCGGCTTGTAGGTAGAGGTCGGCTTGTAGTCCGGCTTGTAGTCGGTTGGCTTATAATCCGGGGACGGCTTGTAGTCGGTTGGCTTATAATCGGGGTACGGCTTGTAGTCGGTCGGCTTGTGGTCCGGCTTGTAGGTAGAGGTCGGCTTGTAGTCCGGCTTGTAGTCGGTTGGCTTATAATCCGGGGACGGCTTGTAGTCAGATGGCTTGTAGTCAGGCTTATAGCTTGGGTACGGCTTGTAGTCGGTTGGCTTGTAGTCCGGCTTATAGTCGGTCGGCTTATAATCAGGGTACGGCTTGTAGTCGGTCGGCTTGTAGTCAGGCTTGTAGTCGGTCGGCTTATAATCCGGGTACGGCTTGTAGTCGGATGGCTTGTAGTCAGGCTTATAGCTCGGGTACGGCTTGTAGTCGGTTGGCTTGTAGTCTGGCTTGTAGTCGGTCGGCTTATAATCCGGGTACGGCTTGTAGTCTGATGGCTTGTAGTCAGGCTTATAGCTCGGGTACGGCTTGTAGTCGGTTGGCTTGTAGTCTGGCTTGTAGTCGGTCGGCTTATAATCCGGGTATGGCTTGTAGTCTGATGGCTTATAGTCCGGCTTGTAGCTTGGGTACGGCTTGTAGTCGGTCGGCTTGTAGTCAGGCTTGTAGTCGGTCGGCTTATAATCAGGGTACGGCTTGTAGTCGGTTGGCTTGTAGTCCGGCTTATAGCTTGGGTACGGCTTGTAGTCGGTCGGCTTGTAGTCAGGCTTGTAGTCGGTCGGCTTATAATCCGGGTACGGCTTGTAGTCGGATGGTTTATAATCCGGCTTGTAGCTCGGGTACGGCTTGTAGTCGGTCGGCTTATAATCCGGCTTGTAGTCGGTCGGCTTATAATCCGGGTACGGCTTGTAGTCGGATGGTTTATAATCCGGCTTGTAGCTCGGGTACGGCTTGTAGTCAGTCGGCTTATAATCCGGCTTGTAGTCGGTCGGCTTATACTCCGGGTACGGCTTGTAGTCGGATGGCTTGTAATCTGGCTTATAGCTCGGGTACGGCTTGTAGTCGTAATCCGGCTTACAGTAGGTCGGGTACGGCTTGTGATCCGGCTTGTAGTCGGATGGCTTGTAATCCGGGTACGGCTTATAGTCAGATGGCTTATAATCGGGGTACGGCTTGTAGTCGGTAGGCTTGTAATCGGGCTTGTAGTCGGTAGGCTTGTAATCGGGCTTGTAGTCAGTCGGCTTGTAGTCGGGCTTGTAGTCAGTCGGCTTGTAGTCGGTCGGAGACGGCTTGTAGTCGGTCTTGGGTTTGTGATCTGACGACGGCTTGTATGTGGTGGTTGGGTAGTATGTACTGGTAGTGTGCTTTGTGTGCTTTGGGGGAGTCGTCGTGTAATGCTTGTATGGGTTGTAGGTATAGCCTGGGGGATGATAGCTGGAGTCCGTGTATTGACTAGCGCTGGGATTGTAAACCGAGGGGTAATAATCGGTCTCGACACAAGTGGAATAGTCTATGACACAATCAGTATGAACCTTAGACTCTGGGGAGCTCTTTCAAACATACAAGAGTTCACCTTGACACAGGTGTATTTCGGGGGGCAGCCGGTTTCACCATCATACCCAGTTCCTCCGCATTGTCCATAGGGTGCGACAGCAGCAGTCGCACTCCCAATGAAGGCGAGTGCGAGCGCACCGAACGAGTGTGATCTCATGATTGCGAGTCGTACCTTAGTGTAGCGAATGTTGTCCGACCAGAAACAGAGCGAATGCTGTTGTGGGGAAGGAGGGGTGAGGAGGGTGAGGTGGGAATTTGAGGTGGGAACGCTCTATGCTTTATAGAGAAAGTGGTCAAGTAAAATTTCTGTACCACACGTCCGTGGAGTTATTTGGTTGCAACCCGCAGGGATCAAATTGGAAGAAACTCTGTGGAACGGTATATGCGAGAGGCTATGCTATCACTAGAACACTCTCATCTTCTGTAAGACTCCCGGTATGACTAAAATTTCACTGACTTTGTGTGTTGTCAGCTTCTGCCCACACCCCCCCCTCCTATTTAATTTGCACGCGACCAGGAATCCCGTACCTCCGGGATGGTTCGTGATATCCATAGGGCGGAAAAGGATGAGAAGCTGAATCATCATTGCCAGCCCAACGGAGTGTCTCACTTTCCCTCCTCTAGCGTAATTAACCAAAGTGCAGGGAAAGGCAAAGTGCCATGAGTACGGTACCCAAATAAACTGATCCTGTGCTGGCACGTCGGAGTTGCCTCTCCTAGTAAGGCATGGCGTTCTCCCTTCCTTGTTTGTCTCTGAAGACATGTACGAGTACAAGTACCGGTACAGTATTTGGTGCCATTTTTTGCCCCCATTTCCAGAGGAGGTATTTTGAACTACCTAGTACCATAAGGTCCGCTTGTGCGGTATAATTTATCACCGCTTTTGTCCCTGCTTCTGCCCTCACCCAAAGGAGAAGAGGAAGTGGGGGGAAGTACCGGTAGTACTATATTTCTAAATTCTGTGGCCTGGGAATTGAACTAGAATAATGAGCCCAATTCCGAAGTGAGCGGTAATAAAAGTCAATAGACCTATTAATGGAGGGGATGGTGAAAACGAAGAATCGTTAGGGTTGGTTTTTTGTGCGCAGGTTGGCTCATGCCGGTTACGGGGTGTTGGTTCATCCTTACAGTACGGTAACCCCCAGATACTGCATATACCGACGCCACAAGAGCTCTACCCTACGTACATGTCAGAATTCTCCTGCCCCCCTCCCATTTATCTCAACACCAATAGCCATCTATGAGTACTCGAGCACAGTGCCGGCAGCATTCGATCACACTGAAATTCTGGATGGTACGAGTGCTCGAGTACCTCATACATTACCCAAGTGCCGCACTGTACTCTACAGGCAATGGTGCGGGTACATCTCAGTCGAGGTGGAACCCCCCCATGCGGCCAAACCAAGAAGCACATTTAGAGCGTTATCGCTGGCCGATCACCTTTTACTGGACCTTTGGAAGACCTGATGTCATCCATCTTTTCTAGTCCCCGTGACACGTATCTAGGCTTCCAAGGTCACACTCTTTCGAGTTTCTAATCATAGCTCCCCGCGATTGTGCTGTGGCCGGAAATAGGATCTGAAATGTTTAAGATGCAGCAATGTGTACAACGAAAGCTAGTTGCGCACAAAATCAATCCGCTATCCCTCTCTCCCAGTCAGCCTAACGTTGAAATAAGCATATTCGGGACTGAGGCAGTGTCCTATGGCGGGATTGTTAATATTTCCCCGGTTCGGAATATGGGTATTTGCGCGGTGCAACGATACCGCAATTTACTCGTACTCGTCCCTGTGTACCGGTACGAGTACTCTAGAATACAATACGACTTGGCGTGGTAGGTGGGGTTCTCCATCCCGCTCGCCGCCGATCATGACTGGGCTCCATAGGCACCGTCTTGGCGAAGTGCAAAAGTCCCATATGCATGGATCTGAGAAAATTCTAGGCGATCAGAGCTATTTATGGAACTCGTTGCTAAAATAAAAAAACGTGCAAATCTGGGGACCATTTGCTTAGTTCAGCCGCAACCGAGCCCGCCAACTTTTCAAGTAAGCGATGTTGCTTGTTGATTGGCCTCAGCGGTGAAAAAAGAAGGTTCCCCGCAGGAGGCGCAGCCTTCTAATCGATAGCGGAAAACCCCCCCCCCCACAAATGCAACGGGGCAGGCCGAAGGCATAGTGCAAGTACTCGAGTAACGGTGCTGGGCCATACAGAACTACCGTGGACATTGGGAAATGCTGTGCCGTACTTTACTCCAGTACCCGTACCACACACTTCTGGGTCACGCTGATAGGGCTTATATCCTGACCACAGAAATACGCTCAGATGGCCAACAGAAACTCTTGTTCCCTGGATGGAACAACCTTATTGGCCTGGCCCATTTATCGAATACTTCGAAAATAGCTATTTCCAGTTTGCAAAGCCGCAAACACCTCACTTATTCTAGAGGCGACCGTGCCCACAGCTTACGGGCCAGGTCTTACCGTCGGTGCCCGCAATAGCATAACGGAAATCAAGAGCGGAAACACCCAGAAAAATGTAAGAGCACCATTAATAAACATCGTTTTCTGCCTCCCCGATGAGCCACAACCATCCAGACAAATAGTGATAACGTTGGACTTAAAAAAGTAACGCTGAGCTAAATTTCCGGGTTAGTACAAAATATAGCAATCGATTGACCTTTTTCACATTACGACTGACTAACTATTAGTTGAGGCTCACTTAACTGCTATAATCTATTCGAATGGGGTCAAAAATCACCCTTCGGAAAACCCCATCCCTAGGTTTAATATCAAGAAAGTGGATCCATGGTTTGCCTTGACAGCTCCCAGCCCCCCCCCCCCCGTGACGATGCCGGTCCGGCTACTCAACTGCGGTTAGCTACAATAAATTATTTGAACCCCGGCCGAAATGTTTTACCCAATCCCATCAACCCAATTTTTGCATTTCTATGCAAGGAGCGAGGCTTGGAAAACGCATTTTACCTCAGCCCAGGGCACTCGTTGTTCTAACAGGTGGAACGGGCAATGCAAAAACCTCAGCTTTTTGTGCCCTTCATATCATACTTGTATCCTGTGAACACACACAAAGGTGGATGTACCCTCGACGAAGGCGCAGATCTGCACGTTGTGCAAGCGAGCGGTGGTTACTTCTTCGGGAGCCTATGAGCGCGCATGCGGCTACGCCCACTTTTCGCTATCATTCGACAGTAGATTAACAACAACAGAGCAAGGAGCTACAAAGGGAAACAAATTGTGCCATATGTCTTAACCTAACAAGTATTCGCAGCAGGAAGGGATCGTGATGTCCTCTTTGGGCAGGAAAACCGGGATAACCCATGCGATCCCTCGCGAGTATGTGTTTGCTTTTCCGTGTCGCGCCCCACCTTTTACCGTGTTCGTAAATCGCCCGGACACATTCGTGCCACGAAGGTATTTTGAACTAAAAATAAGAGCCCTCATGAGTGTCTCAACTTATTACTCGTCCAGAGGGGCCGGCTGAGGGTTAGAAAAATTCGGTGGAGATGGGGCGATCTGATCGGGTGAGGTGCGTGAATCATATTGTCAGGCCTCCGCTACCTCTTCCTGTCCTGTCTGCCCTTCCCAATCGGAGCTGATTTGCACTTGGTTAAGGGCAGCCAATAACGTAATTCTTTATGATGTAGACTCATGAATCATCACTCGGACCCCTCTGCTGACCTTGGCAGTCCTTTGGAGCGGCCTGGATACGAAGCGTGACAACAACACATTGCAAAAGGTCAGCCAACAAGGGCTCATTTGGTCTCTATTTTTGATAAAAGCTTACTGTTTTATTCCAATGACAATAGAGTCAGTTGGTACAAAATGCAAAATTTGGGCCTGCTGTCCCGGTCGGATCAGCAATAAATCAAAAGGAAAGCTGAATTCCGCGTCTCGTGTTAAAGCAGATATTTTTCCTGATGGCCTCGTTTCCAACACCTAAGTGAGCCCAACGATGGTGTAGGTTGGCGTATTTCTGTTAGTTGGGGGGGGGCAAAAAAACTATGCTCTCTTCTCAGTTGCGGAGAGACCCGGGAACTAGACTCCAACGCCTGGGAAGACGGTTGCACAGTTTTGCTAGCTGAGCCTATTTAGGTTCTAAACTATTCTGACTGGTGAGCACTTCGTGTAGTGCTCGAGTTTACACTTCTCCAAGCCAAAAGAAAAATACGCACCACTGGCGGGATCTCCCGATTTTTGTTTTCTAATAATGGACAATAATAACTCGAATCTCCGCAGAAACACCTCTACGAGCATTCTCAAGCCCCGTAGTGTGAGACACGCCGAGTCCTACCTTGCTATCTGTTGGACTAATCGATTGAGACTTTTTACCAACCACAGTATGATAGTATTCTTCCTAGTCCTTCTTGGTAAGACCACCCTCATTATACTACCCTCATCAGATTCCAAGCGTACACAAAATATCCTTTCTAACGAAGGCACCAACTCTTTGGTACTACCTCTTCGCTTGAGAATATCTGCTGCTGGTATCGGGTTCTCGAATTAACTCCTCCCGCTACTTACGCAAACCTACATCCCGGGGGTGATGGGAGGAGGAAAACATGGTGAAAGCTAAGTTCACGATACCTGGAAAAACCCTCTCAGACACACTAAAATTCACGGGTATCTCACGAAATATAGCAGATCACTAGTGGCGGGAATAAAAATTCCAAGCAAAGTTAGTCTTGTCGGCCACAATAGCGTGGTAGAGCTGGGATGAAGTCAAAACCCCGACACCCAAGGCTACTTTCCATACACCACGAAATCTTGGGTTCCAGATGCACTGGAAACCTCTTGGAGATTCTAGCCCAATTTGCACGGACTCGCACCCGAGAACCTACCCCTAGACGAGACATCTTCCCGGGTTTATGGACCGGTCGCGTTCCTTGCAGGCGTCAGGGGAGATCCTCATGTACCAATATCTCGGTGGAACAAAAAAAAATTACTCCAAAACTAGGGGCTTCCTGTAGGCATGAATCACTTTCGTTTAAATAAATTTTTACCCCAAAGATCGTGGAATAATCCCGACCGAATTCAAGAAACCCGAGTGATCCCATATGATGCCAAGACTCCACTTTTCATGCCTTTTCCTTCAAAGCACGTTAGCTAAAAATATCCCGGAAGATCAAATCTGCATGAACAAGGCGCAGGAAATTAACCCAAAACCACTCCCCGACTTTCCCAAGGCGCTATCCCCCTGTTAGCCAAGCCTGCCAAAGCCCAATGAAAACTCCCCGCCCCCTCACCACCACCAACAACCGGTGGACGCCCACCTTCCAAGATCCGTAAGAACGCAGTGCTTTTTGTCTACCCGTGCTGGAGGAATAGGGCTCGAGCAGGTGGAGGGTTTACTAGACGCTGGAGTTATCGTACCGGTATCATACCGGTGAACCATCGTACCTTCCCCCCATTCCCGCCACTTGTGCGCGTACTGTAGGCTAGGCGCCTGCCACATACTGTACTGGGCTTGTCGCTGGGAGTTTTTAGGGAAGTGATACAACCCTGGACCGACCGCTTCGGCCCCAAAGTCGGCAGAACCCGCGATAATGTTGTGACCGAGTTGGGTGCAGTACTAGTACAAGCCTCTACGCTACCGAAAGGTTGAAGTCACACATCGCAGCGGCGGCGATAAGAACGGAGGATGGGACGCGCTGGGGTACCCCGCTACGGATTTCGGTTCGGATATTGTTATGTCGGCTGAAAATTATGGGGGGGTACTGTGAACAGCTACCGGTACGTCGGTGAAGTTCTCATACCCTTCACCGAACGGCCGGACACTTTTAGATAACTGGTTTGGGATAGGATATCTCAGTAAGGACATTGTGAACCTTTATCACTATCTGCCTCTCACTAGATAATAGGAAGGGAGGACTAGCGAACCCTTGGAAAGGGTTCGCGGTCTTTGGAAGGATATGGAAACATTGCGGACGTGGCTGTGAACTTTCTTTAGGGACGTTTTTCTTTCTTTCTTTCTTTTTTCGCGTCGTTCGCATGTTGTTGTGCTCGTGTATCCGCCGCAGGAATGTGCTCCTCTTTTGGAATCGCCCCCACGGACATTAAAAAAGTATGGTGTTGAAGCTGCTTCTCTAAAGGTGTGCAAGCACTGCCACAATGTGGAGGGCGATAGATATCGTGAACCTTATGATAATAGCAATACTTTCCCACTCTGACGACTGGATGACTCCATCGAGAATTACGTGCCGCTTTGTTCTGCTTATCATAAACTACTACCAATAAAATTGTGTCGAGCAATGGAGTCAGTTCTTTCACCTACCGGTACCTCCAAAACATGACTTTGATTCCATTCATATCATACCAGGAAAATTCCACGGCTAAGAGAGGAGCATGTCTAATTTCCCGTGAAGAGTTGCCATATGTGTGTGATATGATTGCTCTCATAAGGGCGCATGGGTATCTTGCGCCACCGGCACAGTCATTAAAACAGTTGGAGCAATCATGCCTTTTTTACGGGCCCGCTGGGGGCCATTCCAAACGGGGTGTCGATTCTCGACGCGGAGACACGAGTATGGACGGTACTTTGCTTTACTTAGTACGAGTACTTGCCTATCTGTTTGCTCACCTCGCCTGCCTCTTTTCTTTTGTCTTTTTGGTATAAAATATTACAACTATTATAGCGGTGTGTAGGATCGACATATTATGATAGTCCGACCTGGCTCAATTGAACCAATACCTCTTCACAAATACTCGAGAAGAAGAAAAAAGAAAAGGAAGGAAAGAAAAACATCCTGTGTGGCGTAAACTTCACTCCAATGCGATGTTTATTTTATAAAATTGGGATGAACCCCCCCCCCTGAGGAGAATTGGCCCGAGCTTTTTTTCTTCTTTGTGGGCGGGTATCCGCAGGCAAGGTCTCTCACCTTCTTCCAACAAATGAAGCACTCAAACTAAACCACCCAACCCCGCAGACGCCGAAAGACCCCAGACCAATCCAATGACCTCAGATACTAACTGAAAACCGGCCACCATGACCTCTCCCGGAAAGGAGGAGATGGTAAAAAAGAAGGAAAAAAAAAAGAAAGCAAAGAACCACGGTTCCAAACCGATCCGCTGTGAGCTGTTACAAATTCTAGTAAAAAGAACTGCTACCGCATACAAATCCTGATCCGGGCAATAGGTCTAAAAAGTTTTGGTGGTGGATATCTAGCTATCAGACTCGAGTATCATAACTACTACCGTACTCGGATACGTACCACGCACCTGGTCCGTGTTGCAGTTTTTCAATGAACGGTTGTTTCCGATATGAAGAGCCTGTTAGCCTACCCATTGAGAAGGTGAAAGAAATTCTGTGGACGATCTTATTTTGTGAGCTGGTTTTAATTCGCAGGAAGTAGGATTGACCAATACGACAGTTGTTCATCGATTAACCCTAGCCGAGTAGGGTACTGTACTGCACGAGTAACAAGTAGCAGTCCTTAATTTAAAAAAAACGACACTTTGATATTTGCAAGTTGTAGAGTGCAGTCGCCACGCTTCGGATCGGTACGGATCCTACGGAACCTGCCAGCAAATGACGGTTTACCGCTCCGCGCCCCAGGGAAATATGGCTTTCTTATTCTCCCGCCTTTACCCCACCACTTACCCCTCCTCCTCTGAGTACGAGTACGATAAGAGGAAAGAAAAGAAAAAAGAAGAGCCGATTTCTTCGTACTTTACCGTAAAGAACCGAAATAATTGAGAATGTCGCTGGGGGACGTCCAGAATTTCCCCCTCTGGATTGGGGGGGGGGGGGGAACAAAACAACACGGGGAAAAAGATTACCTTTCAGCCCTCAGCTGAGACAAAAAAAAGAAAAGAAAAGAAAAAGACAACAAGACCTTACCAGGAGAGGCAACTTCAACGTCCTAGCGCCCATTCTGTTTCTAATACGGTAGGGTGTATCCTTATTGGGCATCGGCATGGCTGTTGACGATCATGTCTTGGCCTGCCGGGTGGGCTGTAAGATCGAAGTTGGTCGGGTAGGCTGTTCATGGAGAGTCACTCGGGACGCCGGTTTCTGCCCGCGCACTTCTGCACCGAATGCTTGAGAGCGGTAAGTGCATGTTGGAATCGAGTGGGGCAAGGGGAATGGGGACGAGGTTGGGGAGTGGGGGGGAAGGAGGGAATATTTTGGGGCTCCGGCAGGATCCTGTGGGTTGGGGGTGAAAGGTGCGGTTTTTGGAGTGCACTTTGAGGTGATTGGCTGCTGGGTGATTCGCTGGACAACGCCCCTATGTACTGTACCCGAGCAAAAGTACTTGTTGTCGTGTCTTTCTGAGGGGGAAAGCTGACCCTTTTCCTAGTACCATTGCCAGCGAACAGGTGAGTATTTTGCCGTATTCTACATAATCAGGCTTACCCAGGCCGCCATAGCTAAATGGAACCAACAACACCCCAGAACTTTGTTATCCCGGGCTCTGTCTAGACGCACTTTACACGGTGAGCAGTAGGCCCATTTCCTGAGTGACCTCGCTAGAGGGAACCAAATGGAGTTTGAAGATGCGTAACCTTGGGGGGGGGGATCTTGCTCGAGTTCAACTACTTTTTTTCTTTTCTTTTCTTTTTTCTTTTTTTCTATTCTACCGTATTCTACAACCCTCCCATATAGCGTGTATATATATATAGAATGGGGCTTTCAAAAGACACTACGTACTCGCCGGATCTGGTTTATCGTACCGTACTGAAAATCCTTTTACACACTGGTGTATGACAAGACAACTCGTACGATTAAGCTCCAGCGGCTTCACTGGTACTCCTCCCCCCCACCCCACAAACGTGGATTAGTCCGTGGACATTACCATTGAATGGCCGTTTCTCTTGCGCGGGTGAGCCTATTGATGATAAAGAGAGTAAATTTCCATGAACGCGTTGCGATCTTCTATTTGCCAGAGGGGTATCGTATTTGGGAAATTTTGGCCAACACGACGCCGTTCACGGATTGGCTTCCCCTACCCGAGCACAACATATCAAGATGCGTTCCCTACCCGCCCAGTTGGATCTTCCATTCCCCTACATGCTATACATCCGCGGAGCATCAAGCGTCCGAAATAGGCATCTCGTCATGCGGTCACATCCCATCACTCGCTCAGTGGTTCCTCCTTCAATTGTCGAAGAAGAAAAAAAAAGAAAACCGACGCGCACTGATCTCTACAGCTCATGTCCTAAAGCCAATGGCAAATCGTGATACCATTTCCTATGAACTCGCGATTGCGGAATCATCCACGGTGAATGAACTTGAACCAAATGAAAAGCTCAGAAAATGACACCATGCCAGGTAACCAGCCTAATGCAGCACGTAGATGGGAAAACCTGGCTCGTACGGGGCTCCTTCGGGAATCACGGAAAGAGAGAGGGGGGAGGGAGGTGTATGTATGTAATAAACTAGGGAAATGGATAGGTTCCATTGGAACCAGAGGTGGGACCCACTCACACTTGCGGAAGAGACCTCTACAACCTGCTTTTCAGATACGGTATCAAGAAGAAGATGGCAAATGGATACAGCTGCTTTTCCACGAAGCTGTGGAGAAAGTATGAAGACTAAAAGCCGGGCGATTTACTTGCCTATAGTCCCTTTTCGTTGTTGTATTATTGCCCACTGGGGCTTAAGATATCCAGTTTGTAATGCACTTAAAGGAATGATTCCGCTTTATCTCATCTTTTCCGAATCTAACTTTACACAACACGATCCCTCCCTCCTTCCCTGGCTTGCCACCTTACGGACCGAAGCCGTTCCTCTATCTCACAGGCGGCATGGTGATCTGTTCTCCACAAAATGTGCTACGGTAGTGTACGGCTGAATCCTGCGAGTTGAAGTGTGCAATGACAAGATAAATGACTTTTTGTCGGCTGAGATGGCGAATGGATTCTCTGCTGAGGAGGAGGTAGAAAGATACAAAAGCGGTGAGGTTTTTCTTTCTTTCTTTTTTTTTTTTTTTGCGCCTGCATTTGATGTATCTCGAGTTCACAGTCCGTCAGTAATACTCCCGATTGGGGAGGACAGAGCCGGGTGGCTGTCTACTGAAGAGTTGGTCCTCAAAAGACTCCGTGGGAGGCAAAATGTGTTGAGGGTTCCGGATGGGTGTTTCTTGATCGGAGTAGATTGTGGAAGTTTCAGGAATCTGGTGGAGAGTTCAGAATTATGATGGATCGGTGTGGAGGTGCAGATACTTGCGGAGCAGAATCTCCAGGTATGTCTTTCCTTTGTTATCACGGGAGTGTACTGTACTGTACAGTACAGGGGAAAGGGAAACATGCGTGGAGAGATTGAAGGATCAGGATACATTGTTTCTATTTTACTCATCCAACTGTATTTACCGTTAGTTTAGGGAAGAGAGGAACGAGGTTGTTTTACCTTACCTCTCACTCTTGTCCACATACCGCAACAGTTCCCCACATATTCACTTTTAGTCTTCCATCTACCGCTGCACGATCGGTCCTCCACTGTTACCCACACTAAGAAAATGGACGATGCCGTGGCACTGAACTTGCTTGAGGGTTTCGGCGGGGGGTTGGGTTTGCTCACTACCGTGATCCCAATTGAATTTCAAATAGCCGAATCGGGCACTGTATGATACACACTCAACCTCCTTATCGACAACATACTCATACAAAGCGCTAGTAAACCTGAGATGCCAACAATGCTAGCGGACTTACTAAAACTCTGAGGTGACAGGTCGGTCTGCAGGTAACGAGTGAGAAGTACTGGTATCTGAACATGATTAATATCATAAATTTATCCCAGTTGTACCGGTACCTAACATGAGGCATTGGTTCAGTATTGGCGCGCAGATAAGCACAGACAATTAGCTACATATTTTTCTAATCGCCGTGTACTAGTACGGATACTTCCTTCCTGTTTCCTGATAAATTACTCATAATTATTACTCAAGAACTTGTTTCTCAAAATGCTTAAGGGCCTTCGGGGGGGGGGGGAGGGCGGGGTGGATAGCTCCGTTGCCAGAAGTCACTTTTCCTTGGTTGTTTGTGGTTGCATCAGCCTCAGGTGTCTGGATTCTCAATTTTACCAAGAAGTATTCGGAGACATACTCGAGTAAGCACTCAAGCGTAAGCGGCCCGCAGCTGGCGAAAAGCTATTTTCGGAAAGCACAGTACCAGTTTGCCCCCGAGCGGCCCAAAAGGGATATGATGGACAACCCTCAGATATTGTTGCTGTTAGTATGGCCAAGTAATTCCCTCTCTGACCCCTCTTCCCAAGGCTACTGTATTACTCGAGTATATCACAATGTCCTCCCGCTAGAATTTCTCTACCGATGAATAATCTTTGGACGCGACATGAACCAATAGGAATTACAGCCCGTATCGTACAAGTACGCGTCATTATGTTCGCAAGCGTTGGAGGTACAAGTATGATACATAGCAGGGTATGATGGACTCTGCCAAGAGAATGCTCGTGTGGGACGAAAAGAAAAAAAAGGGCTTGAAGGAAAGATCTGTTAAAATCCCATGGCGAAGTGAACGGAGAGCCAGCGTATTTCTCTTTGCTTATCAATTTCCTGCTGTACAGAACTATGGTCGAGCACCCTTAT